AATAAATTATAATGGGCTTTTATGAGATATTTAAATTGTTAAAATTTAATTGTACAAAAAAATATATATTGGTGAAAATGATTTACTCCTTTTTTAAAAATTTAATTTTTGTTTCAAATAAAATTAATAACTCAAATTTCTTAAAAAATCAAATTGAGAGAGAGAGAGAGAGAGAGAGAGAAAGAAAACCATTCTTTATTATTAATGAAATAAATAAATCCACAAATAAAGTATGTAATTAAAGTCCTAAAGTATGACTAGTGATTATTTTAAAATTTTATGATTTAAAAACTTTATAAATGTAATAATATTTTTCATTTTTTTAATTTTATTTAAAACTTTTTATATCAATAATATTTAAATTGCCCTTGCATTTCAAAAATGCAAAAAATGAATCTATCATCCGATTGAGGAATCGTTTCGATCGGCCCACCTGACCCTTCGTGCAATTTCAAAGTTTCCTCCGTGAATCCCATAAAGATGTCTCGCCAATATCTGAGCTCTGTCTTCTTCGGCTTCTACAGCCATTTTTCTGTAGCGACGGACGGCTATAATGCAACCAGCGGTGAGTGCAATTTGAATTATTAACCAAAAGATCAAAAGACCCAGAGCTAGACTCGCGTCTACGCAAAAGAGACTATCAGATTCTGGAAAAAAAAGGAACAAAACTTATGTAACTTCGTTAGTTCTGTCATATAACTTTACTATCTAGAATTAAAAAATGCAAAAATCGAATTTCTAAAATCGAAGTTTCGCTTGGAGATAGCAATACCGATATTAAACTTACTTCCACCGGTGATCAAAAGCGTATCAGGATTTTCTCTGGATAAAGGGTCTGCCGTTATCACTGGACTTTGAACGACGATAGATAGTTCTAATGGTAATTCCACGGGCGTGAGGTTTCTAAAAATTTCAGTTACTTCGGCAGTGACTGGCTTCTCGATCGATCGTCGCTTCCTGCCATATGAGGGTTGTCCTCCTCTGCATATGGCCTTCAAAGAAATCATAAATTTCAAATTTTCTCAATTTTTAATTAATCTAATTAATTTATACAAAGATACTAAATTATTTTTATTCATTAAAAAAATATTAATATTTTATGTAAAAAGAATTTTATCATATTTTAATATTATAGTCTAAAATATAATCATTGCTTGAAGAACTTGAAAAGAATATATAATATAGAAAAGAATATATCTGTTTACCGGCTCACATTCTTCGATACAAAATCTAACGATGACATTAAATCGAACGATTTGACTATCGGGAAATTTAAAGGCAGTAAATGTTGAGATCAAAGATCGGTTATCGATTGGATCCTTTAATAGCGCGGGAAAGGTCGCCGGATCTGTTGGACACCCAATTTCGTCAAGAAGAAGATACGAGGATTCTCCGGATGCGCTACTAGCTACAAGGTGTCCAGCTGCGATGTCGTAAGTTCCTGTCAAACCAAAGAATATAATTTTTTTATAATATAATTTTTTTAAAATAAAATATATTTATAATGCAGCTGAAATTAAATTTATGAAAAGTTACTTTTAAATATTTTTTAATTAAAAAATTCATACTACAACAAAAATATTCATACTATAACACTCTTATTAAGGGAAGTTCCAATTTGAAGTGAAAATTTAGTAATGAAAGAGAAACTATAAGCTGGGGATATCCTCTCTATGTAATTAATATAAAATATTACAACAAAAATATTCACCATTTACGGGATGAATTTCAATTCTGAGAGTTAGCTTCTGTCCCAATTGGGTAACGACAGCGTCCATATTGCTTTCGTTGAGAATCCTCATTGTCACCACTGGCACCTCGGACGAAACGTTCACTACAATTGAGCCAATCGGCGGTACGCCTGCGCTACAAAAGAATAACCAGAGCCGGAATATCGAGGATACTTGTCACAGTATCGGGACGGTTTTGCATCAGATGGCAATTTAAGTGAATATATTACTCATTTCAAATAATTGTGATCGCTATTTTGTAAGAATTAAAAAAGCTAAACTTACTTTGGGTCCTCGAAAGAGAAATTCGAATGAACCGTCACGTTTCTCGGTTCCGGAAGACCGCTCTCATCTAAAGTGCATCCAACTCTCACCGATTGATCTCCCAAACGCTGAATGATCGGATTATATTGTATTACAATGACACCCCAAATCAACGTATGCGTCCTGAAAAAATAAGATTCAATAGCTTAGTAAAATTTAATTCGATTAGTATTATCATATTATAATATAATCTCTTTCATTTTTTTATCGTATTTGACAGTGATATAAACAAAGAAAGAACGGTTTTACTAATTTAAAAATTTAACAATAGATACAGATCTAAAAATGGTTTTTGTTAGACTCAAAATAATTTTTTTTTTTATGTAAAACATTTTTTTATGTAAACTGGTTGATAGAAAATTTTTTTCTATCATGCATTGATTCAAAATTTTTTGCAGCTTAAGTACATACTAGTTCCTTACATAACTACTTTGATAGTCAACAAAAGTATTTTCAGATCTATTTAAATTTTTAAATACTTTAATAAAATAGTTTTTCCGTGAATTGATTCAATTAGATGATTTCAAAAGCAAGTACCGATTTTCATTATTGATGGAAAATGCGGGTGTAAGGCCGCACACGAGATTAGGCTTGTCAATTTCCTCTTTCTTTGGCAGCGGTAATCTTAATATCGTAATATTTTTCCCAATGCCATTAACGCTACAGATCGTAATATCTCCATATCCATTC